ATAAAGTAAACAGAATGCCAAAAGGACAGAAATGAACCTAGAAAATCCTAAAAGAGAATGAGAAATCACTAAAGATTCTCAAGCTTTTTCTAAAACCAAATTGATTTTTCTTTAAAGATAGATAACTCCAACCTACTAATGGATTAATTCTCGTGTTATGGCATCGGTTCTTAAACTGGGGCACATAGAGACACAATAATAAAGGTATTCCTTGGTGATGAGTAGTTTTCAACCATAAATATATTCAATACATATTTATTGAATGGATAGGGAATATTTACTGAAACTTCCCAATGTGCCAGGTATGTCACTCAGTACCTTACATATTTTGAGCCATTTCACGACAACCCTGTGAAGTATGAACTACCAGTGGCCACATTTCAGGTGAAGAAGTTGGCATAGAGAGCTTAGGAAACACACCCAAATTTCATAGTTTAGTCAATGTTCTGAACTATGGTTGATCCATCAGCAGGAGTAAGAAAGGTGCCCCATCCCTATTCATGTCTGGAATTAGATAAACAGATAAACTGATAAACTGAGGGGGGCCTGGAAACATTCGTGAGAGGTAGGCAGGCATTTAAGGCCATGTAGTAGAGTGAATTGTTAAAAATAAGAACTACTGCCTGGTGGAGGTGGCTCAGTGGTTGAACATCGACCTATGAATCAGGAGATCATGGTTTGATTCCCGGTCAGGGCACATGCCCGGGTTGTGGGCTCGATCCCCAGTGAGCAGCATGTAGGAGGCAGCCAGTCAATGATTCTCTCTCATCATTGATGTCTCTATCTCTCTCTCCCTCTCCCTTCCTCTCTGAAATCAATAAAAAATACTTTAAAAAATAAAACTACTTAGTATTATACCTTATTTTTCAAAATATTTAAACACTAACCGAGTGTGGGCACTGATTGATCAATAAATGGTGCCAGCCACATTACTGGTCAGTCATCTCTGGGCCACCAATGGCATATCCTAGAATTAACATCTTTCTCCCCTTTCACTTAGGAAAGGATCCTGGTGCTGTGTAACAAAACAGCTTTTACATCCTAGGCACATGGAAGAGGATTCACCTCTCTGGCTTCCAGTGGAGGTTTTGGGGTTCATTGGGTGACCTGGGTCCGTTGGTGGGTAATGGTTGCTGGATGTCTGTCAGACCCAGTGTAAAACACCAGTTTAAAGACTATATTGTACACTTGCCTAAAGCTTTTCAAATTGAATAGTAAGAGGCAAAATCAAGGGGTTCCTACATCCCCTTGGAGCCAGAAGCCCTTGTGCCTAGCAAAGAGGTTGTCAGTGTCTCCCTGAAGTGGGTCTGGGTGTGTGTCTGATGTGTGTGTGTTGTAGTGGGGGAAGAGGAATGGAATCAAAGAAGTTCCCCACAAGCCCCCAAAATGTCTTTGAAATTTCATAAAACCTTTGAAATCTTTAAAAGCCATTCTCATTTATAATTCTTCCTCATAATAGGTCAGTCCTTTATTTAATACAAAAATTCCCTCCTGACATATTCAGTAAATCTGACACTCCAGAAAGAGGCCCATGGTTATCTAAAGCTTCATGAACCCCAGTTTAGACCCATATCTGGAACCTTGTGCATGTGTATCTCAAAAGAGGAACAGGGCTGGTGGAGAGATCACTGTTTAGCAAGTGAGGCTGTGTCCCACACACCCATAGTGCTTGGTACGCTGAGGATACTCTGAACAAGCCAATGAAAAAAATAAACAAATCAATCAATCAATGAACATATGAGCAAAGAGGTGGTGACTCCTTGTAGAATACCAGTTTCAAGGAGGCCTACCCATGTTTGTTATGACCTGTCTAGACTGCAGAATGTGAGAATTTTCCCTGAAGCCCAAGGCACCAGCCAAACACTTTCAGAACAGACCCTGGAGATACTACATGATGAATCTAGCAGGAACAATTAATCACCTGGGAAAACAGAACCTGAACCTGAGAGACGAAGCAGCTGACAAGAGGGGAATTCTATATGGAAAACACGGGTGTTAAACACCCACCGCCTGTGGCAGGAGAATAAATCATGTTGCCAACAGCAATTGGAAGATAAGGGAAGGTTAAGGAGAAGAGAACTGGAGATCCAGCAACCACAGAAAACTTCCTCAGGTGGAAGGGGCCATCACACCACCTGGGCTGGGACCCTCCCAACCTGCAGAAGGAGATACATCAGGTGCCCTGAAGTCAGCTGCGGTGACCCAGCTCAAAGCCAAATGATGAGAAGGCTAACAAAGGGCACGAACAGAGGTCTCCTCTCCTCAAAGGGCTGGGCAATTGCCTGGCAGAGTGGCATAAGAGAAGGGGAAGAACTGCCGTGCAAATTCAGCTATTTGGCAGCCAAGTAATTGCATGCCATTTTTTACCCCAGCATGGAATACTTGCATTTTTGTGAACTTCAAACATGAAGAATGTAGCCTTTGTGCATTCTGTGAACTTTCAAAGTAAAAATAAGAGGAGGAAACCAAGATGGCAGCATAGGTAAACACCGGAAATTGCTGACTCCCACAACAACTTCAAAAATACAACGAAAAGACAAAACGGACATCATCCAGAACTACAGGAAGGCTGGCTGAGTGGAAATTCTACAACTAGAAGGAAAGAGAAAAGCACACTGAGACTCAGAGGAGCTTCGGAAGTAAAGTGCAGAGGTACAGAGGCTCGAGCACGCGAGGAAAGGGGCTGGCACCTGAGGACACCGCTGTCTTTTTGAATTGGGAGGGAGTCACAAGCTCCCGACTGCTCTGAACTCCAGTTCTGGGAAGTCTCTGGGGACCCAGGACTCATACGGGGAGAAACTGGACTGTCTGGCAGCGGGCAGAACTCAGAACTTGAGAGTGTCTTTCCCTCAGAGGTGCTTGCAGCCATTATTGGGACACTGAGACACAGGGCCCCTTAGGGCAGGGCTGAGGATCAGCCATAGCTGCTTGCTCTGCCCTGTTGATCCCCTGAGACCCCGCCCCACCCAGGCTGATCCAAGAGCCAGTGTACCCAGTGGTCAGAGTGGGACCACCCAGATTACAACTCCTCAGATTCATAAGGAACACACTCAGGGGGCAGACTCAGTGAGCACCAAAGCCCCACTGAAGCAAGTCTTGCCCCAGAAGGGTGTCTTCAGCACAGAAGTTCTCCCACTGCAGACACAGCTGATTCTCACTGCCAATTGGCCTGGAGGTCAATTCCTCCCAGTGACACCTAAAACAATCAAGGCATAACTACAACAAGACTGTGCACAAAGCCCACAAGGGGGTGCACCAAGAGTGTCCACCTCAGGTAACTGGGGAGGCTGAGCCACTGGGCCCTGTAGGACACCTAGCACACAAAACCACTCTACCAACACAGGGAAGCAGACAAAATGCGAAGACAAAGAAACAGGTCACAAATGACAGAAATGGAGGACAGCAAACGACTGGATATAGAGTTCAAAACCACGGTTCTAAGATTTTTCAAGAATTTTATGGAAACCGCCGATAAATGTATTGAGATCCTTAAGAAATCTAGTGAGACCCTCGATGTTGTGATAAAGGACCAACTAGAAATTAAGCATACACTGACTGAAATAAAGAATATTATACAGACTCCCAACAGCAGACCAGAGGATCGCAAGAATCAAGTCAAAGATTTGAAATACGAAGAAGCAAAAAACACCCAACCGGAAAAGCAAAATGAAAAAAGAATCCAAAAATACGAAGATAGTGTAAGGAGCCTCTGGGACAACTTCAAGCGTACCAACATCAGAATTATAGGGGTACCAGAAGAAGAGAGAGGGCAAGATATTGAAAACCTATTTGAAGAAATAATGACAGAAAACTTCCCCTACCTGGTGAAAGAAATAGACTTCCAAGTCCAGGAAGTGCAGAGAACCCCAAACAAAAGGAATCCAAAGAGGACCACACCAAGACACATCATAATTAAAATGCCAAGAGCAAAAGACAAAGAGAGAATCTTAAAAGCAGCAAGAGAAAAAAAGTCAGTTACCTATAAGGGAGTACCCATACGACTGTCAGCTGATTTCTCAACAGAAACTTTGCAGGCCAGAAGGGAGTGGCAAGAAATATTCAAAGTGATGAATAGCAAGAACCTACAACCAAGATTACTTTATCCAGCAAAGCTATCATTCAGAATTGAAGGTCAGATAAAGAGCTTCACAGATAAGAAAAAGCTAAAGGAGTTCATCACCACCAAACCAGCATTATATGAAATGCTGAAAGGTATTCTTTAAGAAGAGGAAGAAGAAAAAGGTAAAGATAAAAATTATGAACAGCAATACATAATCTATCAACAAGTGAATCTAAAAATCAAGTGAATAAAAAATCTGATGAACAGAGTAAACTGGTGAATATAATAGAACCAGGGGCATGGAAAGGGAGTGGACTGACAATTCTTCCGGGGAAAGGGTTGTGGGGTACAGGAAGAGACTGGACAAAAATTGTACACCTATGGATGAGGACAGTGGGAGAGGTAAGGGAAGAGGGTGGGGTGGGAACTGGGTGGAGGAGAGCTATTGGGGGGGAAAAAGAGGAACAACTGTAATAATCTGAACAATAAAGATTTAATTTTTTTAAAAAAAGTAAAAATAAGAAACAGTCAATAAGATTATGACTGTTTTGTAAATTTGTAATCTGCCTTGATTCCTGGGCTAGAATTTGATGTATGTGGATTCTAACGTCTAAAAACCTGGGTAAATTATTACAAAATGTCCAGAATTGTCAAGTCTATTCTAGGAGACAGAAAGTAGATTCGTGGTTGCCCAAGATGGGGAGGGAAATTTGGGGGAAGTGGGAGTTTCTTTATGAGATGATGAAAATGTTCTAAAATAAAGTGTGGTGATGGTTGCACAACTGGGAACATACTGAGGATCTTTGGATTGTTCACACTGAGAAGGTGAGTTCTATGTGACTTATATCTCAATAAAGCCATTAAAACAAAACAAGAAAACCCTGGGTCAGGTCCTAACTGTGCCACTTACTAGTTATATGCCCTTGAGAAAGCCACTTACCTGTATCTCTGTTTCCTCATCTGTAAAATGGGGATGAGATGACAGCACCAGCTATCTCATAAAGGAGATATGAATCCTCAGTGAGATCACATCTGTGATGAGACTGCACACAATGTCCTGTACATGGTAGAGATGAAATAAATGTTAGCTACCTGTCCACTTGTCCCAATGTAACAAATAAATGCATTCATTTGAGAAGTGAGTTTGGGGGGGCGGGGGGGAGGGATTAGATTGATGGTTCCCCATAGAGGGCGCTCAGGCCTCCAGAGAGCCTAGAAATTAGTCATTGGGCTTCCTCTGGCTATTTCCTGCAGGAGAACCTACCTAAAGCTGCAGTTATCTGAGATCAGGCTGCCCCTGACTGAGAAACACATCAATTTTCTTTGCTTTGGGCTAAAAGAGATGAACTCAGCACAGTTATTTGCCAATCAAAAGTTCAGCGTGGCCATTATGTAAGTCTTTGGTTAATTATGTAATTATTACTTGGTAAATTCTGTTCATCTGAAAGTCAGAAATCTTTCAAAACTCAGGGCCCAGGAAATGAACTAATAACAGGGTTTGAGTGGTGAAAGGGTTGAGAACCACTGAACTGGTGCCTCTGAGCTCTGTTGTTGAGATTTGGAGGATGGGTGTTGGCAGCGACAGGGAAGAAAGGCGTTCATGTCATTGCATGGTGCTGGAAGGGCAGCTCGGATGACAGCTTGGAGCACGAGAGGCCTGGAGTGTGTGGGGAAGAGAAAAAGGCCTCTGACTCCCATCTGGCTCCTTCTCAGCTGCTGAGACCTAGTTCAGGCTGCAGGATCCAGGGCGTTTTGAAAGCCACTCGAGGTAATCAGCTCACATTCCTGTCACTAAGGTATTCTTTTATTTGGTGACACAGCTGAGGTCAGAGCCATTGCCTTAGTCACTATTGTTTCATAACAAACAGAGCCTTAACATGGCCTGTTCTGCCTCCTAAATCAACTTGTCCGAAGCACTTTGAGTCTCCCACGGCATCTGCCAGGCTCAGCAGCCAAGTTGGCTGCTAGAAGGAAGCCCACCTGGGGACTTTGGTTCCAGGTGGATCGGATCCTGCTCAGGACGCTCAATGCCCCTGCTGGCAACGTACATGGCACCTTGGACACTGGCCCCTTCCTGGGCTTGGAGCTGCTCCTTTATGTGTCAGCTGGCAGAGAAAGACTTCTGTCCACAGAAGTTTACAGTATGAAAAGGGCTGACAAAAAAAAGGAGGAAAAAAAAGAAAAGTGCTGACAGCTGTCTTCCAAGTGGTTTCCTATACAGCAGTTATTCACTTAATGACTCGCCATGGTCCTTGGACTGATCTTTAGTATTAAAGTAACACAAAGAGAGCAACTTAACCCGGTCACGTGACTGATGCATAAAGCCATTCTCCTCTTGTAGATGGATCTGGCAGGGAAGCTCGCCAGCTGTGGTCCTGAATCAGGACGGAGAAGACTTAGGCAGGTGAAAGGTGGAAATTGTTAAGACTGCGCGGGGCAGCCATCTCCACCAGAGGGTCTGACTTAAGAGTAGGCTGAGAACTCTTAAAAGATGATGGCTAACGCTCCGGCCCCACTGCCAACCAAGACAGAGTCAGATGGACGTGCCCACCTTTGTCTCAGGGCCTCTCCTTCTTCTTAGTTTTCATGGTGACTGTGCCCTTGCAATCGATTGACATCATTTATCTTTAAATGAATTAAAATATGTAATCAAATTGGTCAAATCTCAGAGGCTTGAAAGCCAAGCTGTTTCTCTCAGATTCTGCGCATAACTGTTGGGATCCAGGTGGACCCTCCAAAGATAATTTATCTTCCCATTCTTTGAGGGGGTCTCACTGCAGCCTCTGAGCATTAAAAAGAGCAGACTAATATTTCCCGAGTGCCTCCAATGTGCCAGGCATGATGCTAAGTACTTGGCATGTGCTTACTAATCTGGTCCTCATTCAACCTCATGCGAAGGAGTCTGGCATTATCCCCTTTACAAATGAGGAACCTGAGGCACAGAGAGGCCAAGTAACTTGACAAAGGGCGTGCAGCTCCTAAGTGGAGGAGGCAGTCTAGCTTCAAAGTCAATACCCTAACCCCGTGGTCGGCAAACTGCGGGTCGTGAGCCACATTCGGCTCTTTGGCCCCTCGAGTGTGGCTCTCCACAAAATACCACGTGCGGGCGCGCGTACAGTGCGATTGAAACTTCGTGGCCCATGTGCAGAAGTTGGTTTTCGGCCTGGGTGAGTCTGTTTTGAAGAAGTACTGTTGATATTTGGCTCTGTTGACTAATGAGTTTGCCGACCACTGCCCTAACCTGATGTGCCACAAGCACTTAATAACAGTCATGACTTGAGAGGTCTTTCCCAAGGAAAAAAAATTAACTGGATTTCCAGAGATAACAGATGGATTTTGCTGGAGACTGAAGATTGTTGAGTGTTGAATCTAGTCTTGATGAATGAGTAGAATATGCAGAGACCAACCTGGAAAGGGGAAGGCGACGTAGCTAAGGCCTTGGTCCTGGGAGTGGCCTCCCCTCCTGTCTGGTTTGGATTCCCTGTTTTGCAGTCTCTCATTGGACTTGCGGTATTATTCATTCAGGAGACTTGTGTTGAGTACTTTCTATACAACAGACACTAGGACGCCAAAAAATAGACACACAGCCATTGCCCTGTCCTGTGAGGACCTTCCAAATACGGTAAGAGATTCCCACTTGCTTCCACCTACATTATCTAGTTAATACTCAGAATCACCCCATGAAATAAGCAAGGTGGGAATTGATATACCCATTTTATAATTGGGAATACTGAGGCACGGAGGAGCTAATTGCTCTGTCCCATGTCTTCAGCATTCACACTCACTAGAACCAAATGAAGTACTCTGTTTTCTTGCCCCATCTACATAAAGTAACTCAGGTGGCCAATCTATAAGAAGACTGTCACTAATCATCAATGAAATGGGAAAAATAAGGAGATGGAGAGGCGTTTTTTTAAAAAAAATTAAACTAAATTTCTTATATTTAAACAACTATCTTCTATTCTTAAATTATGTTCTTCCTACTTTTAGGTATTAAAATGCCCTTTTATAAATACATATTGGTAGGGTTTTTGTTTTTTGTTTTTTAATGCACTTATATGACAAAACAAAATGTTGGTATTTCTGTTGTTTCCCAAACCTGTTTGCTGGCCTTTAAACCATTACCCTAAAAATGCACATGACCCCAAGAGAGATAGAAAGTCCACTCCATCATTCACAAGCACAGATGAACCTTCACCTAGGGGGCCTGAGACCATGGCCTTGATTGAGAGGACAGGGACACTTTGAAGAGCCTTGGATTAAGAAAAACAAAGAGCAGTGATATGCTGCAATCCCTTTACTCTGATTTACACACAGGACACATGACTTTCCATAGCCATGGCAACTAGCCAAAAATGATAAGGCTGATTAATTCCACAAGTGCATTAATTATTCACATGTCACCAAATATTGACTCTTACCAACCCTCCTTCCCCCCAGCCATCTGCCCTGGTGTGTCAAATCAAAATAAATCAACAAACAAAAAATGGCAGGCAGCTGACACCCCAGGGAGGCTGCAGCCATTTGTACAGTTCCCAGTGTTAAGCTGAGTTATGAGTGGCTACCCCGTTTCTCCACCCCCTTTTCCCCATTGACGAGCAGTGCATGTGCACACATGGATACACACATACATGCGCATTCACATGCGCACACACACAATGATATGGGTATGTAAAGGGGAAATGGTTGGGAGCAACTGGGGTGAAAAAGACAAAAGATCCTAGGAAATAATGATAATAAGAGACCATTTATTGAGCTCTTATTATGTGCCAGGCATATAAGTACCATAATATGTTTAATCTTCACCACAACTCAGATATAGGAACTATTATTATTCCCACTTTATAGATGAAAACTAAAAGTCATTATATTAATCAACTTGCCCAAAGCCAAACATCTAGCATTTTATGGTCTGAAATCAAAGGTAATGTTTTTAATCCCTACATAAGCCGACTCACCGTTGCTGCCACCTGGACACGTTTTGCAACCTCTCTGAGCCTTCATTTCTGCATGACGATAATGGGACAATAATGGTACCCAGTTTACAGGGTTGTTGTGAGAAACTGATGAGCTCATACATGCAATGTACTTGTAATAGTCTAGGCACATAATAACTGCTCAATATGATTGGCTGTTACTATCGATATTATTGTTATTTTTATTACATAATATTGTCTTTCTTAGTTGAATGAAGAAAGTGTGGAGGATAGATTTTACAGGCAAAGAGGATATGTTTGGGTGTGTGAGCATACTTAAGGATTTAGTACCAAGAGAACTACATTTCTACTCCCAAGCAGAGGGTGTCATGTTCTCTATACCTGCCCACACCACGTGGTGCCTTTCTACGCCCTGTGGATTTCTGAGCATCCTGTTTTCCTCTAACTTCCTTCTGTCTCCACTCTTCTGACAGCTCTCCAGGGAGGCCATTCACCCCATCTTCTGTCGCCCTCTCTCCCTGAGTCAAAGCTGATAGACTGTCTGGTGAGCAGCGGTTAGGATGAATCGCCACATCCATGGCTTGGCTGTGGTGTGTGCCACACCTGCAGAAACTCCCAACAGTGGAGAGGGAGGTCAGCTCGTGGCTCCTGCCTGCTCATTTTTCAAAGCAATTTCCAGCATTTTTTCCCTCCACTGCTTTGCACCAACCTACGGGAAAACACAACAATTAATTGACTGTAACATCCCTAACAGCTGCTACCCAGCTCCGTGCGGGGTTAGTGGTGCACACTAACAACTTTGAATTTAGTTTTAAATGTTGTAACTTGGAAAATAGAACCAACAACCCCTGTGAATATGAGTTATTTCAGCGAGTTTCCTTTCCAGCATGCATCGGAAACTGATGACTAAAATCCCAGTCCCCAGTCTGAGTGTGTCACAAATATGCCCCGTCCAACACGACCTTCTTCCCATTGACTGCATTTCAAAAGTAGCCCAAGGACAGCAAACAGCTGTTTGCTGGTTCCCTCTAGAGCAAGTTGCAAATGGGGCATCACTGGCTTGTATTTTATGCTTCTTTGAGGGGCGTGCTCAAATGTGCCAAATGGAAGGGAGGAATCATGGAATGGGGACTAGGATATTAAAATTGGAAGTTTCTACTGGTCATCAAGATACAACAGATGTGAGTAAAAAGCAAAGTATAGATTAAAAAGAGAGAGCCCCATAACAATTTGTGTTGGATTGTTCTATTGGCAACTTGTTTACACTGGTATTGCATGTCCCAGAATCACCTTTATTGAAGACTAGAGGCCTGATACACAAAATTCGTGGAAGAGTAGGCCTTCCTTCCCCAGCT